TGTAAACACAAACTTTTATTTTGGATGCGATTAATCGCGATTAATAGTTTGACAGCACTATTTATAATGTTAACAAAAGATTTATATTTCAAATAATACTTTAAAGAATCCAAAATAAAATCATATTATGTTTTCAACAAAAATCTAAAGGAGCACAATTGTTTTCACCATTGATAATAATAATAAATATTTCTTGAGCAGCAAATCAGCATATTAGAATGATTTCTGAAGGATCATGTGACACTGAAGACTGGAGTAAAGATGCTGAAAATACAGCTTTGCATCACAGGAATAAACTACATTTTAATATATATTCAAAACAGTAACAGTTATTTAAAATTTTAATAATATTTCAGAATAATACTGTTTTTATTGTACTTTTGCTAAAATATTGTTGACATCTTGATAAGCATATTTCTTTCTCACACATTGTTTTACCAACCACAACCTTTTTAATTTACCAGTATATTTCCCAGAAGTTGTTCCTTATACAGTAGCTTATGGATTTAAAAGAACCATAAATGAGAATTCTATAAGTGTCAACTTTATCTCAGATGTTTCTCTTAAATTCATCAGGATAAATAAAAATAGACACAAATAAGGCAATTGTTGACACACTGTGCAAGTATATACAGATAATATTTCTAATTATATAATTATGCATTTAGTTAAATATAAATATATATAAACATAAGTTAATGTTCAAATGAAATATTAACAATGTTTATAAATGAGAGATTTAACTTAACGTCCCCATTTAACCTCACTGCTATCTAGGAGAAAGATTTGAGATGTTAAAGCCATCACATGTGTGATATTTCTTTCTGGGTGATGGTGCTCGAGGAATGAAGGATTCAGAAAGACAAATGATCCATTCGAGGTACCTGGCTCCATTTTACCCCACAAATCACTGCAAAAATGCATCATTCTGACTTTTGGGCTCTCAGAGTGAGGTTTGAATTATGATATGACTGGCAAAGAGCGCTTTGTCAAAGTCAGTACAGTCCCTGATTTTAGCCTGTCATTGAGAAACTTTCCTCTTCCCTTCCACAGATGACTTACCCCAGCAGTTATATCATCTCATTTACGTTATGCATTAATCCCAGAGTCAGAACTGTCAGCAAATGCACTGCTTAAATGATTCATACTCTCTTGGCAGAGTTCCTGAATGCAAAGTTAGCCCGTAATTCATGAGAAGAGATGGGGGATACGTGCTAATAAAGTGATGGCGGTTAGCATTGGCTAGCAGCTCGTGAAGGCATTGGCAGCTTGGCATGGCTATAAAAACTGCCAAGCTTGAACCGATTTGTTGCTCCCAGAGGCCAGGCAAATTGGACGAGTCCCTGAAATGATTTTCAAGAGTTTGAAGTGTCTGAAGATTATTGTTGATTATGTAAGTTGATGTGACTGAGAATCGTTCAGAAATGTCCTGCTAACTATGATTAGCCTCAATGACTCTCATATATTCAGCTCACCTGACACTGCAGGACTGTGATTCTTTGTTAATCTTGTGGAACCAGGAAGTTTGGGCTTTTCTGGCTTCTCCGGCAGTGATGATCCCATCTTTGTCCTGGTCTATACTCTGAAATACGGCCCGTGCTCGGTCCCTCTCCTTCGCTGTGAGGATTCTCACAAGCGAATTCTGGATTGAGGAAAAACAGAATCATTTACACAATGCTTTTAGATGAATGGTTGATTGTTCATTATAATTTGGCATTTTGAAAGTTTTTTGGGGAGAAAAGAATAATTTCCACAATACTTTTGTTGAATGGTTGATTGTTCATTATAATTTAATCATTTTTATTATTAATAAAAATAATAATAATAATAATTTTCACAATGCTTTTGGTTGAATGGTTGAATGTTCATTATAATTTAGAATTTTTTTAAATTTTGGAAGAAAAAAAACAGAATAATTTCCACAATGCTTCTGGTTGAATGGGTGAATGTTAATTATAGTTTAGCATTTTTTTTTTTCTTTTTTGGGGGGGGGGGAATAAAATAAAATATTAGTAAAAAAAAATACTAATAATAATAATAATTTCCACAATACTTTGGTTGAATGGTTGATTGTTCATTATAATTAAAAATGTGTATTATTAATAAAAATACTAATAATAATAATTTTCACAATGCTTTTGGTTGAATGGTTGAATGTTCATTATAATTTAGAATTTTTTTAATTTGGAGGAAAAAAAGTATAATCATTTTCACAATGCTTTTGGTTGAATGGTTGAATGTTAATTATAATTTAGCATTTTTTTTTATTTGGGGGGGACAATAATTTCCACAAAGTTTTTGGTTGAATGGGTGAATGTTCATTATAATTTAGCATTTTGACAGTGTTTCAGTGTTTTTTGGAAAACATAAACAGCCAATCGTCCAAGATAATGGGATAATGAGCTATATTATTCGATGGAAGGATTGTGTATTCATACTATTCATAAATGTGAATGTCAATAAATAGTTAAACATAAAGAAACAAAGAAAGTACTTTTATTCAGCAAGGATGCATCAAATTGATCAAAAGTGACAGTACAGACATTTAGAATGTTACAAAATATGTATATTTCAATCTCATCAGTTAGGGATGAGAACAATCTAGTAATTGTTGCACAATTTTTTGTGTTAAGTCTTTAAATGTGCACATGGTTTGAGTCTTTTAGTGTGTACTGTCATAAAACATAAAATGCCTTTATAAGTGGTCATTGCGCTTTTTCCAAAAACGCAAACAAGACGAATTTGTCCATGTCCCACATTACCTCGGTCCGGAACTTCTGCAGCACTGAAAGTGACTCGTGGTAGAGGAAGTCAGACCACTCAATCTGACCCTTCTTCTCTGGATCCAGCGCTGCAAACTGGGCCAGAACCTCCTCTTCCTCCTCATCCGTCAAGTCTCTTTCAAAGAGCTGCTTGGTCACAAAGTGCCTGTACTGCAGGAGTTCATCTGACACCAGGCACGACTCTGAGCAGAAAGTAGGTGAGAGGAGACTTACTGCATCATCAATCAATAGAAACAGGTCAGGCCTAATTACAGTACTGACGCGATAAATTAGTAAACCTTTAATTGGCTTCCTTAATTTACTGCACAAAGACATATTTAAACCAGAATCTAGAGGAGGATGTTAAAATGGGACTGAGAGGAACACCTGGGATGATCTTGCACTGTTTGAAGGTTTCCATCAGACTGTACATCTCTTCTTCAGTAAGCAGCAGGTTCACATTATCCTGAGGGAGGAAGAGGAAGAGTCTTTCGGTTCTGGTAGAACAGACACTTCACATTAAAGAGAATTATACACATTATGCTGCTTACTTGTTTCTGGTCTAACCTTTGAAACAACTATCAACAGGAAATTCATTTTCAATATTAGTACAAATACAGTATGATGCATTGCGCATTAACTCAAATGTAAGATATTTATAAATGAGTTTATCATGAACAGGATAATGAAACAAAATTGTAAATCATGAAACGGTAAGAAGCCATCTGCCTATCCCAGCTGGCTTCTGTGACGTTATTTATTTGTTTGTTTGTTTGTTTGTTTGTTTGTTCGTTCAACGATTGTACATTTTCAATATTAGTACAAATACAGTATGATGCATTGCGCATTAACTCAAATGTAAGATATTTATAAATGAGTTTATCATGAACAGGATAATGAAACAAAATTGTAAATCATGAATCGGTAAGAAGCCATCTGCCTATCCCAGCTGGCTTCTGTGACGTTATTTATTTGTTTGTTTGTTTGTTTGTTTGTTTGTTTGTTCGTTCAACGATTGTAAATGAAATATTTAGTATTTGAATGGATTCAAATTAAATTAAATAGTTAAAGATAAACGCTTTTGAATTATATAGGCTACTTTTATAACAATTTTGATATATATCATGCAGGCCTATATTTTAAATTGAAGAATCGCAAATAGCAATAGACTTTGAATTCAGATTGAATGATTGTGCTCATTTGGTCTACAGGTTATTATAAGTAACGATGATGATTATAAATGTACATCTAATCCATGGAATTATTTAAAAAAATAAACCTATTAAATATAATAATGTCTAATTATAAAAAAAAATATCATGCCACTGGGTACCTTCTGCCCCAATTCACTTGGGGGAGAGGGTCACTTTATCACACAGGTCTGACTTGAAATTTTATTTCCAAATAATATATATAATAATATATTTTTTAACAATAATCCCCCATTAGCAAACAGATTTTAATAACCTTTAATATTCAACATATACAAATAAAATCATAGATCACTATTGTCCAGCGTCAAAACATATCATTTAAACTAAAAGCTGTTCAAATTGAATAAATCTCAAAAACGTTAATGTTCATTTAAAGAGAGTCTACTGATCAAAGTTTTCAATCACTACGCTTCACAATATTTACTGATTAATATTCCCAATCACATCAATATTTGCAGAGAAAAGCCCCCAATAATAATAATAATAGATTAATAAATCATGGAATGGATATTACAAAACGTGGTCTATTTCTTGATCATTTTTCTAAATTAACACATTCAGATGACAACCCTAGTAAAAAGACTTAATGAGGAAAACATCCTGCACAGAGCCTCAGGGCCCTTCAGACTGAGCCTTAAAAACAGAGTTACATTAATTATCTCTAGCAGCAGGTGTTTCAATCTCTCTCTCCCCCCTTTATCTTTCTAAAAAGGCTAACAATCTCTGAACCAAGGGTAATGAACGACCTGACTAACTCGGCTTTTAAGGAAACCTAATGAGTTTGAGGTGTAAGAGGTTCAGGAAGAAGCTCTCACAGATCAAATGACAGCTTGTCCATTCATATCAAATTCAGAGCGAGATTTCTTTCCTGGCTCAAGCTCTGCCTTCAAACGAGCGCTGTCAGAGCCCAGCAGCATTGGGAGTAGCTGTATTTTCAATCAGCTTTCCCCAGGCTGATGAGAACTCATCTGAACAATGGCACTAGAGCAGATGGGAAGGGCAGCCTGCGTCTCAGAGGTACCTCCATTTCCTGTCAGCGGTGACTGTGGGATACACTCCCCTTCTCAGGATGATCATTGAAATGAGATTTGATTTCATGTCCGTTGTGTTATCCACGAGCCATTCTCAACAGACATCAGGTTGGAGACCCCAAAATGAGGAACAGATGTTATAAACAATGCTTAGCGAGAGGTGGTCTATTCATTGTGGTCTGGCCTTCACATCTCAGTGGTAGTTTCTCTGATCCCCTGGAAGGATGTGATTTGAAATCTGCTATCTTTGCTCACGGGTGCATGGTAATGGTCACTTATTTTGGAGCCAGTAAACAACATGTGACTATGTAGCCACAGGAAAATTACATCATGTCAACATCATGTCAACACAGATTGGTTGATGGCACCACAACAATGTCCAGTCCCAAGCCATGAAATGAACATGAAACATTTCAGACTCATAAGCTGCTTGCAGTGATTCCAGTACACGGCTACTTTTAAATGACCATAGATGTAGAAACATGCTTTTTGTCCACAAAATGGTGCAGTCTGGGGATAACTGACAATGCTAAATAGCAAAACCCTGCCCTCTTGGTTGAAATATTGACATTAAATCGGATGTTGACAGTTGGGTTGTGTGTACTTTCATATTTACTTCACAATAACAAAATTCCAGCAAAATTTCACAAAAAAAAATGTCCATTGTCAGTGGATTAGTGATAATATAAAGCAAACCCAGCAGCAAACGCTGCAAATTCTTGCAATGTGATCCAATGCGAAATCTTTAACCCTTAAGTGACCTTCCCAGATGCTCAAATTTCTATTAAAATAACTTGATTTTGACTGTAAAAATTCACCAGATAACTGTAAATCTTACCTTTATTCTACCATAACATCAGGGTTAGGTTCCGAATAGAATAGTTTTTTTTTTTTTTTGTATTTTTTAGAAATTAATAGTTCACAGTATCTGGTTTTAAGATAGTAATCTATTCCAAACACATAGCTTAACTGACCTGAAAAAGCAACTGATTATCCATGATTTTTTTTTTACAGGTCTGTCTCACATTTTTTATATAATTAAAGACAAACCATGTGCAAATTCATCAGTCAACACCATTGCTGCACATTTTCTTCATAAAAAATTAGGTGTACCAAAGACAGTCTGAAAAACGTCCTTTCTAAATTCAGAATTTCAGTGAATTCACTCATGGATTCACTCTCCGATAATGATTCATCCAATATTGCCACTTGCCATTGTGTAGCATTTACTACTTCCGTTAAATGAGTGAAAGTACAGCAGGTCCTAGCCGGTGTGACTGAGTGGAGGCGGGACCTAATTTGCATACCCATGTATGCTAAATGAGGTAAGTGTGTAGAGTTATTTTTTAGCATTTTAAGACATCAAGAAATTATTTTCATTGAAAAAACTGTATAAATATGTCATTGTGATTATCAAAAAAAGAGTTTTAACAGACAAAAATAGTGACAGCAGGGGTACTTTAACGTAAAAGCGGAAGCAGCCATTTGTGAATGTGATTTCTTTTAAATTTTTTAAGCTGTACAAAAACAGTCTATTATGCTGCTTGATATTGCAAACTGACATTTGTTATCATATTGGTGTTTCGTTTTTTTTCGTAGACACACTGGTTTGTAGTGCAAATAGTGTAATCATTTACTGCGCTTTATTATTTTTCTAGTTATTTACCTACAGCAGCTAATGAATCAGAGTCTCGCACATTCATGGAAAACAGCCAACTTCTTCATTGCAAAACAAGGTGGATAGAAGGTTGAGGTTGAGAATGTGCACACATTTCAAAACAAAACGGCAAAATAAGTTCAAGCTTGTGTAGCTAGACACTGTCCTATAAATATGTTTTGGGTTTCAGCATTTTACTAGTCTTCTCATTTTGTATCATATGGCTTTGGAACATCATGAAGATGACTAAATGATGACAGAACTTTCTTTTTTTGGGTGGACTATCCCTTTAAGCCTTCATGTTCGCTGAAACTCCAAGAGATTTGAATTTCACAGGTAAAGAACACAAGCACAGTTGGACAAGCTAGAGGCCAGACAGAGAAAACAACACCGAAGTTTCTCCACAATGCTTCACTGCTGGGTGGCATTTTCAAACCACAAACCTTGAAAGATGTCAGAACGAGATGGGGAGAAAATCACCTAATTATGTTCACACAAATAGTACAGCTAGCTAGCTATTTTGCAAAACAATACACAGCTTATCCCTATTGGCTGTATCTATTTTGCTTCAGCTCACAATTTTCATTGTTAACGTTCCCCATTACCCATGGCATCATCTTTATGAGCATATCTCCACACCAGGTGCATGTCATATCAGTTTGAGCTCTTTTATTGTTGTTTTTGGATGAGTAAGGGCTGTAATTATCTAAATTGTCACATGGCTAATCACAGTGCTGATTCTATTGAATGGTGAAGCCCGCATTTGACGCCAAGTGCCAAAATCAGTTTGACAACCTGGCCTGGACTCTTAATTAATTTTCCACCATGGTCTTCTCGCTAACACTTACTGATGCAAAATTTCATGCTTACAGTACTCCACGCTGATATCATTTCCCATTAAGCCTTAGTGTTATGCTAGAAGTCAGCCCAATGCACTGAAATACACTTGAAGATATTGAATGGTATTACATTAAACAAAACATCAGTGTCCCTTGAAAGCAATATTCAACAGTGTAATCCCCAGTCTGAACATCTCTAGTCCTCGACATACGCACGCTTACACACACATGTGGATTAGGTTGTAGCGAGGGCAGAGTGAGAAAATCAGACACATAAGCTGTAAATTAGCCCTCCAAGGAAATACGCGCCAGACATTTCGGCAACAACCCGGCGCTTCACATATTGTTTCGAGGGATGTGTCCACAGCTGTTTATGTTTGCAATGCAGCATGAGATGCAACCCATTTGAGGGTGTGAATCTAGCTGGAAACCAGGGAGTGCATCTGGAGTGCGTGTAGCAGCAGCAGCCTCGAAAATGTCTTACACTCTCAACAAATGATTTAAGCATCAGCAGCCTGCACGACTGAGATAAGCGCTCTACTTCACTTTGAAGGACGCTCGTACGCTTTGACAGCCTGACAGCCAGACTTCTCTGGCGCCGGGAGAAAGACCACTTTGAACAGAGCCCAAACTCTCTAGCATAACACAATCATCTTGACATGCTCATCTTCACGCTGACCTTTGGGAGGAGCTCTATGGTGTAAGGATCTGTGGATATATGCTAGCCAACAGGTGGTCTATATATTTGATAACTCT